TGATTCTATGAATTTCTGGAAGAAGTGCACACTGTTTTCCAACATGATCACTGCTCTTTAAATCAACATCTCATTTGTTGGGGCCTGACCCTTTGGGCATTGCAGCTCTCCAGCCTGGGCAACATCCATCTGCTCCAGGGCATGATTCAAAGTATCTCTAGTCAGTCATGATTTCAAGTGTCGACATATCTAGCTTTAATAAATTACTCTTTCTGAAGATCAGTTCTGAGGTCCCATCTTGTCTTGCAGAATTCCAGGTATTCCAGCTGAAAGGGATCCAAACAGAGAAGTGCCAGGCTCTGACAAATTATCTGTCGTAACTTGAATAGAAAGAATCAAACAACCTTTTTTTATTTTCAGTAATATGCATATAAAATTGCACAAAATATAAAAATTTAATCAAATGTGTACATAATTCAAATTGTTCTTGTATAAAATTTCCAAATGAAGTAAAACTTGAAGCCACACAAGAAGAACCAAACTGCTAGCTAGCCACCTATTTCCTCTAGTTCCTGTTGATCTGTCTGCATCACTTGGAAAGATAAAATGAACCGTCAGCATAAATCACAAACACTTTTCACTGTGACAATCATAACAGTATCAACCTCCCCTAGGCAACTAGGACAAGAGGTAATTAAAATGTCAAAGTCAAGTTAAAAATATTACTTTGAGTTTACTTAAGAGATCAACTACTCCTAAATACCTGAGTTCCAAGTGGGGCTGGGAACACTACTGGCTAAGGTGTCTGAGTTTGATTTTTCTAGATAAGCTGAAATTAACACTCAACATGGGTCTTAGTCTACAAGACAAGACACTCAGTACAAACTGCAGTACTGCACACACAGTACAATAGTCATCCTGTTCAAAAACCTGTGGACAATGAACAAAGCCTACTGCTGTGTGTCCTTTTCTCAAACTTCTGCAGGTTCCATGTTAGTGTCATTAAGAAATAAGAATTTTTGGTAACAGGTTAAAAGCACTAAGTAGAAAAAGTAACTTATTGTTGCAGCACTGTGTGGTGGTGACAATTCATACAATAACATAAACAAATATACCATTGTTGCTTTTAAGATAACTGGTTAAAATAAAGCAACTGAGGTGTTTGCTGAATGATGGTGTTGCCCCTGAATACTGTTCCAGATCACACTCCATGACTGCAGCAGAATATCTTGGAAAGTAACACACAGGCTCCATAAAAAAACAATTTTCTCAGAGGTACCACTATGAAAAAAAAACCCAAACAGCAACTCACATGGCTGTTGTGATACAGTGAATTAAGCCCTAACTCTCAGATATAAAGGACATTAATTTTCTACAATGGTTTAAGTATTTAATTTTTAATTGGGGTGGCAAGTCCTAAAAGTTGGGCCATATTAATGACAAGTGAAAGGATACTGCACGAAAAATACAATCACAATGTTTTTAAATGTACGCTACAAACTATAAAAAATAAATCATTTTACAGAACAGTTTCTATACAACAGGTGGGAGAGACTATGTCTTGCTCCAGAAATCCTTCCTCTTCTGAGCTCGTTTCAGTATCTGAGATGCAAGAGAGCTGGATGCTGCTGAGCGAGCAGAAATCTGAGACAACCTGTCATCTGTGGGGAAAGCAGTAAGGCAAAAAGTAAATAGGAAGACTAAATATACATATTAAAACACAGCTGACATTCATGGCCCACTTTGAAAGTCTTTTTATGCCCTCTTTCACAATGGATGGTAAAATAGTACCACAATACACTTTAACTCAATTACCTGGCAACTGATAAGCTGGAGAAGAACCTCACTATAAAGTTTCTATAATGCTACAAAGTTTAAGAAAGTTACATTCCCAATTCTGGACAAACTCCAGAATGAGATCCCTACTGTCACATGGGAATTGTCCAATTCTCCAAGTCATCTTTACATTTACTCTCCTGTGTCAGAAGACATCAGGAATTGTTCCTCTGGCACTGAAATCTGTATAGACTAGACGGATAATGTATTCTTGAAAACCTACTGCTTCAAGCAAATCAGACAACCTTAGAATGACAAAAATATCAGAATCCATGTTGCCAAAAGAGCCTTTCTGTGCCAAACCCAGCTAGTGTGCCACAAGCTGTTAAAAGAAATCTGTCTTCTGAAGAAAACAGAAGTTTGTCACAAAGACAAGAAGCATATTTTTAAAATGTACTTTTGAAAAGTCTTGCTTTTGAATACAGGGTCCACTTAACACACAGTGGAACTCTTCAAATGAATCAGTCTTGATGTTGCTTGTCTGATAAAGCACATTATAACTCTTCAGTAGCATTATTAAAATGTTGCTACTGCTCTGCCAAGATGCTCTCTATGAAAAATGACCTTTAATTATACCTATTCTCCTGCAATGGATTAAAAATAACTCTATCACTACTTTCCAGCCCACTCACCACTACCACGAACAAAACAATCCACAACTCAATCCAAAGAGCACCTGTACTTTGTCAGCATTTGACTTAACTTTTCGGTAGGATTTCTAAATTCTAAAAATTCAGTGATCCAAACATCCTATTACAGGCTCACACACTGTGCATAACAACTACATCCCATGTATGAGAAAACTGCTAACTGAACTCCTGCAAACAGACATGTCATTGGAGTGATTCCTAGGTTTGTATGTACATGAACAACTATAGGCACATTTCACCTGTTTCTGAAAACTGATACATCATCACACAGCTCACAGAGGAAAATAAATGAAAAAGCAGTTACAGCATTTAATCTGTGTGCAGCAAGCTTGTGGGAAGCTGCAGAGTACTACAGGATTTTGCATGTTTTATGCAGATACACAAATGCTTGGCTGAGCCATCTGCACAACCCACATATCCTTCTAGCCAACTGAAATGAGTAAAATAGAGAATTGGCCTGAACCTTGGTTAAAACCAAGGAGCAAACAGGCGTACGGGGTACAGAAAAAAGCTTTTGGTTGTTGTGGGGTATATCTATAAATAAACCACAGTCAGATACAAGCTTGCTCTGCCCATACTCTAAATCTGAACCAGACACAGGTGACTGCAACTAGCACCATACCAAGCTCAACCTCAAACACCACGCTACAAAAAAGTGTATGGCAGCTCAAGCTAATGAGGCTACAGTGCCTTTGGCTGACTCACACTGCTGAGTTTGTGTCTGCCCACAAAAGGGCCAAAAAAATGCACTGGTGAGCTGTGCACTGGCTGTTCTCCCACATTAACTTTAGGGCAAAACACTAATCAGAATAACAGGATGCCCTAAGTACCCCTAATGCACTAAGCAGAGGACAGGTATGAAATTAAAGTCAGAGGGCTCGTTTTATGCTGCACATCTGGTGCAAAAGTCTCATGTGAAAAGTCTTTTTTAAGTTGCATCCAAAGTTACTGTTGCTGCAACCTGAGCTGTGATTATTTTGCAGTTTGCTTCTGTTGCTATCAACACAAAGGCTTTAAAAATGTGTGGGGAGAAAAAAATTTTAGGTATGGAACTAAACATGCTATAGTAGGCATACTGAGTCACAATGGTCTATGTAATAGTTTATTCATATTAGTATATACCTTCATATTCATACTTCAGATTACTAGGATGTACATTTTCCAATTACTTCCATGAAAAAATGCAACAGTTATCCAGGCAAACCCATAATCCAGTATTACTTACTGCATTCATAAACCTCTCACCTCCATGCAAAAGCTAAAACTAATTCAGGTTATATATACATGATATACAATAATACTTTGGGACAAAAAAATACCTTCATCATTATAGCTTCTTTTCTGAAGGGGTAACTGGAAAGTTCTCACTTTTGGATTGCCAAGATTCACTAAAACAAAAAGTCAAAGGCAAAGTTATGAATCATTTCCAAATAGGCAAAGAATAATGTTTCATTTTTGAACATCTTAAAAAATGTTGCAACATTCCTTCCAAAATGAGAATCTTACAAATAGTAAATAAACCAAAAATTCCACCAGACTCCTTTAATCTAAGATGAGGCAAAATAAATTACTCTACCATATTCTTCTCAAGGCACCTGTCTTTGGTACATGCTCCAAGTTACCTAGTGAACTCCACTCAAGGTGCAGAACTAGAATCCAGAACCAATTCTAACCTCTCTCAGAGGAAATTCTCTGTATTTCCCATAATCTGACAACTTCTAGATCCATTCTAGAATGGAAATACTACTTTTCAGCTAATCCCTATAATCAAAGGACTGAGAATTGTGGGATCTAAAGCAGCTCTAAGAAGTCCTTCAGGAATGCACACTAAGGGGGGAAGGATTCTTTTCTTTATCAAATTTACATCCCCAGTACCCTTAAACATTGATAAAATTGTTTTAAATGCTCCAGCACAAACTTCTCCTCAGTCAAGAAAAGGCTTTTCTCAATATCCAATAGATCTTCCATAGATGGCTTCTTTGTATCAATATCCTGCAGAAATAATTAAGGAGCTTATCTCTCAGAAATCTACAACTCCTGCAAAGTAATACTACACCATAAAGATCCCAGTTCCACACTGCTGTTGGCAATTGCATCTGGAAAAGTGTCACAGCATTCAGTTGTAGCCTAAAGATGAAAAATTACCACTGTTCATGCTAAACCAAATTATTCTAATACTAAGTACTTACTGAAATTAGGAAGGAAACATTAGCCAACAAGCTACTATAATACAATGACATTATTGGAATCTGAAGCTAAGTTGGAGTGCTGTGCACATTTCCTCAGCAAGACTAAATATATAGTAGAAAAGCTTTTGTTTACAAACAACACATTCTTTGTAGAAACTGTAAGGCAGCAAGCTCAGCACTCTCTCAGCCTGGACACTGCACAGTAGTAATTTACACCCTGCAGCACTAACACAGACAGTTAACACACAAAACCCACCATTATGCTGGAACTCTGGATCCTTGAGACTCCCTTTAATAGGATAAGAGGGACTCCAGCAAGGCACAGAACAGCTTTTTCCTGACTTCAGCACACAAGTTGTAGAGGAATGCTCTTGATGGTCTGAAGCAAGTGGAACTTGTTCATCAGCAACACTGTTAGGAGGCCACTGATCCTGCCTAAGTGGCAGAGGATCCACAGCTCCCACCCCAGCAGGTGGAAAGTTCAGGAGTGAAACAGCTTCCACTTTCCCATCAGGCTAAAACACAAGAGAAAGAAAAGGAAAGGATCAAAACAAAGCATGAAAACCCAACATCTCCTATACAGCCTTCCAGTACAGATCCTCACATATGCAGCACCTGTTGGCTTTAGACTTACTCTTTTAGTACTCTCATGAGAAGTGCAAGTATTCTAAGCTTGCAAGACAGTCTAAAGAAAATCTATTCCTAGTAACAAATGTTTAACATGGTCTGAAAGTAATCTAAACAGGTCAAACAGCTTATTTTCTCCACAGCAAAAAACCTGTGTTCTTAGGTTTTAAAACACCATGACCAACTTCTCATGCAACTGTGTTTGCTTCTATTACAGAACTTACTACAGAACATATATGTACTTAGATGGTAGTTGTATTTGTAAACAGAGACCAAGCACAACCTGACAAAAAAAAAATAATCACAATTTTAAGGACGACAACCCCTAAATGTTTCTATTTCTCTTTCTAAGCAAGCTGCAAAGTAAAAGCAACACAAAAGGGAAACTATTATGGCACATTAACCATAAGCATCCAACCTCTCCCTCTTGAACTTCTTTCACACCAAGCAACCTGGAGCTGTGCCCTGTGTCAGTGGCTACAATAACATTAATGGGGAAATCAACAGCTCCTGCTGGAAAACCTTTTTTTGCAAACAGATCCAATGCATTTAGCAAAAAAAGAAAAACAAAAACAAAAAAGCCAAAGTGGAGCTCATCCAATCCCACTCCACTAGTCTCAACTCCTTTGCTTGATAACCCCAAAAAATATCCAGACATGGGCCTTTTTCAGTCACAGATACTGAGAATTTTAGGATAGCAAATAACAACTCAAGAAAACGATACCTTAAATAAATTATTCACTATTAGTTAAAAAGCACATTACTAAATTCATAATGGTAAGTCTCTTTTCTGGCTCACCTGGAAGGAGCTTCTTTTTGAAGGGTACGTTCCTAAATTTTGCTTTCTCTGTGGTAAAGACGAAGACTTGAATTTAGAAGGAGACTTTAGAACTGTATCTCCTATTGTGGTGGTGAAGATGAAAAATTATTTACTACATTAAATAACCTAATAAATTAATTCATCTATATATACCTTTTTCTTTAGTTCTTGAACTACTACTTTGCATTTAAAAGTCTTTTTACCAACAGCTGGGATAGTGAGATCACCACGAGTCCTCTGAGTTCCACCAAGTGCTGTCAGTCTCGAAGTGGGAAGCTTGTTACCTGCCCTTGAGGATACAGGAGAATCTGGCAGAGCTGCAGAAATATTCAGTGCTAAGGCATTCCCACTGAAAAAAATGACAATTGATTAAAGGATTAGCTAGAGACTCAGGAGTCTTGCACTCAAGCTTTTTGTTTCTAATCCGTTCCTACAATGAAGCTGAAGGCAAGAGAGTTAATGCCCTAAAACACCAATAACCTGTAGATAAAACATCTGCTTGCAAAGGGGAGTCCAGGATTCCAGCCCTGAGCCTCAGTTTCTGTATCTTCATTTTTTTTAAGTAACTGGCTAAAATACATAAACAGTCTCAAGCTGCAAATTCATGCTCCCTTTGATCCAATAAACTCTGAATGTATTGCTGCACAACACAGACCCAACTGGAGGGCTGGAAAAAGTACTTGCCCAGAAAACCTTTGAACCTGGTTGCTGCCAGGTGGGAGTGTGGGTTTGACACTCTTCAGTCAATGTGGTGAAACTGAAACCAAATATCTCACATTAATGTAACCACTATAGCCCCCAGGTTATTAAATAAATCAGCTCTAAAAGACTACTTCAGTCTTCTTCCTCCAGGTGCATGTCAAAAGGAGGCGGCAGCAGACCCACACTGTGCAAGGAAGCTGATCTTATCAGTGTATCTAGACAAAGAATTCCTCATTTCTAGCTCTCAAGAAGGCTCTGTATGGCCAAGCTCGGAACACATCTCAGCCCACAAAGAACCACATTGCAGGATAATAGAAAATCTTAAATGTCAGAGACACATCTATGAACTAGATAATCTCTAGAATTAGACAGAAACTTAGGAAGGTTTTCCAGATGATGGTTTTGAAAGACTGCATTTAATTTCTATTTGAATCTAGCAGCTCAGGGGTTTTTGCCTAGGTTTTGCACATACACATGTGCATAAACATATATATATTTACCTGTGTGTGTATATATATATACACATATATACACATACATATATACATCACAAAAATGTTTAGTTTTACCCTTCAATTTTATTATCTTTGGCATCCTTATTGTTTTCTTCTAACTGTTGGGCGACAACTGCAGCCTGTTCATCTTGTTTTTCTTCTTCTTCTGTTGATCGACAATTTTCCTTTTCTTCAGTTCCTCCTTGTTCACCCCAAACTAAACATCTTTTGACTGGAATAGTTAAAGCATCTGACATGTCTTACTTTCCAGGGCTGTCCTCATGTGGCTGCTTACTGGAGTCAGGTTGCTGTAGGTCTTTGGGGCTTGGTGCAGGTTCTTTTTCAGAAACTCTAGGACAACAAAGAACACATCATTTCATATCACTGATTTGCAAAATATTCACATGTCTATGTAGCACACATTCATCCAATTCAGTCCTTTGCAAAAAGTACAGCTCAGGTATTAAAAAGTGGTACAGTTGACATGATGAATGGTTAAATTGCCACTTAAGTTTTAATTGATGTTTGAACACAACCCATTTTCAAACTATATACTATGACCACTCTGGATTATCATTACCAAAAGTGCAGTGTAAATTAGGACTACTTCCAATTTAAACAAGTTAGATTATTGGAAATGCTCAAAAAAAAAAGAACTATTTCTATACATATGGACTGTCTCATGGCATAATTTTGAAAGCCAAGCAGTTTAGAAGACTTCTCTTTAGGCACAACTTTTCAAAGTCTTAAACTCTCAACTACTCACAGAAATCAGTGCAAATTAGGTCAGTGCACAGAATTGAGATTAGTAAGAGGATCTGCATTTCACAAGGAAAAAAAAAACCCAAACCAGTAAACCAAAAAATGTACCCCATACTTCACATCACACATTATAGTGTAATAAACACTACTTTACATGTCATCTCCAAACCTTTATTACAGCTACAGTTTTTAAGTATCAGATGTCAGAGAAGGCACAAATGGCTTTTTTCCCCTCCCTGTTTCAGCAATAGCTGTCTGTACATTTTACTAACACAGTCATTCTGAATTTTCCTAACAAGAGATTTAGTATCTGCTAATTCTCATAGCCTTCAAAGAAAGGAGAAAATGGATGTACACCATTCCAGTTCCTAAGTCTTCAGCTCAGAACTGAATAGTGTTTAAGACTCAACCACAAAATTAATTAATCCTGACAAGAACATCGACAACATCTGAGTAGGCAAAGCATATTTCATATCATTCCAGTGGAATGAAGAATACTACTTCAGTGTGATTCAGTGTGAGATTCTTCCAGACTTGAGTCTAAGGCTGTCACACTAAATATGCATTTGTGGAGACTTATAAAGAAGTAACTTTCTCGTCTTTCAGAAGACTGGACTGTGCCTCATTTTCAATTTGAGAAGATATCAATTGATCTATCTGTGAAAAGGTAGATGCTCTCATCTGTTCCAGAGAACTTACATATCACAGAATTGTAGAACAGCCTAGGTTGGAAGGGTCCTCAAAAGATCAACTGGTCCAACCCTCCATGGGAAAAGGGAGCCTAGATAATTATTGAGCACCCTGTCCAATTCCATCTTGAATACAGTCAAACATCCAAGATCTCACAGGTACAATAAGCTTATATTCAGCATTTTGCTCTGTTTCAAAGCTGCAGAATAACAGGCAGGAATGATGACCTTACCCAGCAAGATCTAGTGCTCTGATGTTGTTGCTGATGCCTTCTTCTGAACTGGAAGTTGAAGACACATCCCAAAGACTGTTGTTATCAGACAGGATCTGACTGAAATGCAGTCGGGAGAAGTGTGTTCCCTCCACTTGTTGCCTGTAAGCTTTGGCTCTTTCTCGAAGTTCTCTCACCTACACACCAAGGTTTCACAAGTTTTATGTCTGTTTCAAGTTCACTATTAGGCTATTACAGAGTATTTGCATTAGCTAATGGCAGCTAGAAGAGAAAAGCAAGTTATTCTTAACACGGGGCCAGCCACAGCACAAACATTGCACGCCACAGTAAAGGTAACAAAAGGAAAGCAAAAATAACAAAAGTATGTATTTACTAAGCATGTTTGAGCCATGAAGCCAAAGCAAAATTGTCAATTATTCATTCCTGAGCACAAAAATTTATGCAGCAATTATGAACAAGTGTAGGGCTGGATTCTCGTTTTTTCATCAGCACTCAAGACACAATGCTCCAAATACTGAAAGAGGAACATGGATGCAACCAACCTCCATATACCACATGGAATTCAGGGTGTTCTGAGATGCCTAAGGAGAAAAATACAGAATTATTTTTAAATCCCTTATTTTTTTCTCAAAACTGTATTGTTATTATCATCCTTGTTACTCCACTTCAGGCTAAGTAAGAAATTAAATACTAGAAACCTGTCAGTACAGCTCTATGCTGCCTCCCTGAGATTCAATAAAAATTCAGCACTAAAACAAATACATCTGCACTGGTACTTCACCAGTTTTTGCCAAGCTTGAGGAAATTAATTTAGATTTTGAAGCATCAACACTCAAAAATGCATTCACCACTAATTTATGATTATTTCAAGATATCAGATCTATGTGCACGTGTAATACTGAGTTTGCATGCTCTGTACACTGCAACTGTTTTTAGCTAAATCAATTTTAGTGAGCAGCTGAGGATTACACAAGAACTCTTGGTGCTATTGAATGTAAGACATAATAACAAAATTATTCCTTCTAGGCTATGAGTAACTCTAAGAATGAGATACAAAACTGTTCAGTCTAAATAATAAAAGCCTTCTCTTCATTTTCATGGCTAAAACTACTTAAACACACAAGCTGTCTTGTGTCCTTCATCCAAACACAATATAAGTGCAGGAAGAATAAGCCAAAACAAAATGTTTATGTTTAAATTACTAAAAATAACAGTGATATCCTGTGAATTCTGGCTTACTAAAAAAACAGTTCACAGGAATTTAGTATTTTGTCAAAGAGCAGGAAAGTAATACTGACAATTCCTCTAGCACATTTTCATAGCTTTGCTTTTTTATTCTTCTTTCATGATAGATTTCACATGAGTCCTCCTGCAAGGAACAGAGGTAGTGGGCTAAATTCTGCTAACCTTATTAAAAGTAACTGGATGCAGCAGATGGATAACCAGCTAACATCCCACAATTTGACCCATTAAACTTCCAAAGAATGGATCATTAAAAATAGAGGCTTGTCATTAGCAGAATTTAAAAAGTTTGATGTGCAAGTGATTTACTGGATTACTCACTTTACACAGAAAAACAAAAAATTAATTATGATAGCCACAACAGAAGGTATATAAATTCAGAGCAACAGGGCACTGCAGGGGAAGGAAGAATACTATGCCTCCAGTGAATTGTGAAGTACAACAAAGGACAAGCAGCTCCTTCAGTGACTCAGCAGGCAGCATTAACTCAGCAGGACACAGACCCCAGACAGTCCTACTGTGATTATGAATTGCACACATTAATTTTTCAAAAGCACAGTTCCAAGAGCTTTATTTATTTTTCATTTGACTGCTGAAAAGCAACCCTTAATAATAAATTGCAGAGAAGCAGTCTAGGAATAATCACTATGGCTAAGGTCATACCAGGATTCTATTACTGCATTTGCCTGTTTGGATTCAGAATTTCAGAAAGTCTACTTTGGGCCCAAAGTTACCTTTGTGTGGTCCCAAGTAAGGAAGAAACAAGACTGGATCAGAGTTTATCATCCAATCACTTATGCCAAGGAAGAGAAATTCTATAGGCACCTTTGGTAAGGGTGAGTCTCAGCAACACACCAGGTTAGATACAGTTTTGAAGAACATTTCTGTTCATAGTATGGGAACAGGTATGGAATCATGTAGAAACCAAAAGAACTGTTGGGCAGCATATACTGTGAAATGCCAAAGTACCTCTGTTGCTTTACAACAAAACCAATGCACTTCATGCTTTTTTCAAGTTATACATACATTCATTAATCTGCTGTTAACATATTTCTCAAATGGCTGGATTCTTTCTTTTGTCTCAATCACAAATGAAGTCTTTCATTCAGTTCCACTATACTACAGACTCATAGAATAGCATGTCCATTCCTCCTGGACCCCTTTGTTTCCAAGGGTTGTTTCCCAGGGTATACTTTGAACTAGACTTTTGAGCAGGCCAAAGTCTGCTCTTTGAAAGTTGGGGATAGAAGTTTTATTGATGGCCCTTCTTGCATCCCTGAGTATTAAGAACTCTATAATTTCATGGTCACTTTGCCCCAAACAGCCTCCAACCACCACATCTCCCACCAGTCCTTCTCTGTTTGCAAACAGCAGGTCTAGAAGGGTCCCATCCCTAGTAGGTTCATCTATGAGCTGAAGTAGGAAATTATCCTCTATGCACTCAAGGAATACCTTAGACTGCCTTTCCTCTGCTGTGTTGCATTTCCAGCAGACATCTGTCAGGTTAAAGTTACCCACAAGAACAAGGGCTGGCCATTTTGAGACATCTGTCAGCTGCCTGCAGAGTAAATCATCAATAGTTTCATATCTTGCTTATACTGTGGTGCCCAAAACTGCACAGTATTCAAGATGAGGCCACACCAGCTCAGAGTAGAGTGGAACAATCACCTCCCTTGACCCTGTGGTGATGCTGTCCCTGATGTACCCTAGGACATAGTTGGCCCTCCTGGCTGACAGGGCACACTCCTGACTCACATTCACCTTGCTATTGACTTCTGACATTTTTAAATTTTTTTTTCCTTTTTTCTTCTTTTTCCCTTTTTCTTTTATTTTCCCTACTTTTTGTATTTTTTCTCTTTTTTCTTTTTCTTCTTTCTCTTCTTTTATTTATCAGTCTCTTTCTAAGTCTTGCCATCTCTTATTTTTTCTTGCTATGTGTTATACTGACTTGTCAGAATGCAATTGTCTTTGCATACTCACCTTTGGGAGCTTGAGCCATTAGCATTACAATCTCAAAACTCTCTTATAAACACCACAATTCAAAGTTTTTGCATCTAAAAAAATACTCAAGCTTCAGGTTTTCTAAGAATACTCACCTGGTTGTGAACTTCACTCCTAATACGAGACCAAGCTCCATCTTTGTAGAAATACTGGGCTGGAGACAAAAATTTTGACCTATATTCAGTGTTCATCTTCCTAAGAAACGAAGAATGAGGAAAGGGAAAAAAAGACAGAAATAGTACAGCTTGATATCCAGAATACTCTTTGAGAGCATTTTTAAAACTATATCAACAATCCTAAGTATACTTGTACTTAAATGGCAGTGAGATGTGAAAAATGCATGCACAAACAACTCAAACCAACACAACTGTGTTCACAAGCTGTGAAAAAATCCTCATTCACAACTGGTAACCCTTCAAGTAGTTACTCCTGTTGGTTTTCCTCACAGCACTTCTATCAGAAGCTTTTGGCCTGACAGCCACATCATCAAAACATAATACACACATAAGCCTCAATGACTTCAGTGCAAAGTGCAGCATCTTGATTTAAGTCAAGAGATGAAGATACATTTAAGTAAAAATGCCTGGTTTGGCATTAATGTGTCCAAGACATTTCCTTCTACAAACTCCACTTCAAATGCATTCTACATATAGGTGTGGTGAACTGCTGGGGTAGAAACATCTGACTGCCCAAACACTGGTCAGTATAATTCATCTATGTCCTGCTGGCTTTGATCTTCAAAAGGCCTCAGTAGTGAAAAGATGGGCTAATTTTCCGTTCTGCCACACACATACATGCACAGAAAAATTAACATCATCTAACCTATAGCAGGCAATAAGCAGTACCTCACATCCTGAAGCACTGAACTGTGGATTTATCAGCTTTAATCTAAAGACATTTTTGGGTTTTAATCTTGCTTCAGAACATTACTATCTTCATTTTAACATATTCATCACTAGATGAAAAAGCCCTGTTTGTCAATCCCTCTTCAGAAATAGGACATAAAAGCCTAAAGTCAGACAATAAAGTGCACCTTGTAAAAAGAAAAATATCGAAGTCAAAACCCCCTGCATACTCAACATGTCTTTCAGTGTGTCCCTTTCTTTAAAGCTGATAGAATTCCTTCAGTTTTGATTGCAAAACAATGGATTAGCTCAAAAAACACCTCACTGCTGTGCCTTGATCCCAGTCATTCTGCTGCAAAAGCAGGCCATACAATGCAGCTTGTATACAAAGAGATAATCCTGTCTGCATACTGAGAACTTTCACATTTTGACAGCTATTTGCCCAGTATTTTTTTTTGGTACATTTTGTCTTGTGCTATCACACTGAAGGCATAAGAGGCCTGATGCCTTCCTTAGATTTGCCCTTAAATGAATAGAGCTACAGCAAATGTCAAGAACTTTACACACTACTCACTGAAAAAACTGACTACAATCTACTACATCAGAGGGCTATGAAAACTAGAATAGTTAAAGGTTTTAGCTATACTATATCCACACACTTTTTTTGTAAAGCAATTTTATTTCATAGCATTTTGGGTGATCATTTTGTAATATCCCCAATATCCAACAGCATTCAGACCTACTTAATGTCTCCTCTCCCATCTTTCATCTAATGCTTTAACACTGGCAGAAAGAATGAAAGCAATCACTGAGGCACACATTAAGCACAAAGACAGGAGAGATGGATTAATTTATGCATTTTAAAGCCTATGTCTATTCTTGGCTTTTATTTCTCTTGACCTATCTCAGATGTGAATAAAATGAAATTAGTTCGATTCCTGCAACGTAGGCATGTGGCAGAAAAAACCCAGGTACTTTGACAGAGCACAGTAACATACAGTTTCATTTCATTTCCATGCTTGTTAGATTACCCTAGCAGTGCTTGCTTTTTTCACTCAGGGACAGAAGGTGTTACAGACTAGACAAAGCAGACATTACCTACAATCACCACAGTTTTAAACTGTGAAGCAAGCACAGGACAGCAGTTTGAAAGGTGACAACAACTTCCAAAGCACTTGCTGAAAGTTTAGTAGCAGCACTGCACCAATTTAATTTCACTCATGCTAAATTTATTAATCACACTATTACTGCATCACAAAGTTCAACCGAACAGAAGTGGTTACAAAGCTTCCACTACTGCTGCACAGAGAAGAGGATGGAAACTAGTTTAGATGTGCCCACAGGAAGCTCAATCCCAGTGCTGTAAGGGGATCAAATCCAGCATGGTGTGTTTGAAAGGTCCATCATCTACCATTCTAAATATTGGGCTGCTGTAACACCTATTCACTAGCCTAGATTTTTCCTATTTTATACATACCTACGACTCGTACGTAAAGAGAGGGACTTTGGACTGATATGTTGCTTATTTTTTTGTTTAGGATGTTTCTGTTCTAATTCCCCTTGTTTTGCTGCATCTTCTGCTGGTTTTTGAAATGGTTCTTCCCTCTTACTCTAAGGCAAAGATAATTTTAAAAATACCACATTAGCTAACAATCTGAAAACCCTCATATTTCTTTTGATATCAAGCTCTTGCAAAAAGTTAATTTTATTTTAGTGCTAGCTGCTTTGCATATTCAATACAAACAAGAATGTCACATTCTTTTGTTAATACAAAAATAAACTAGCAAAATGCCAAAGCTAAGATTCTGAGTGCAACATCCAGTTAGTTAATGATCCATTTTGTAAACTTTACAATATTAATTTAATATGAAACACAAAAAGAAAATGATACCTGTGCATTCTAACCTGAGTCCAAAAAGGCAAATTTTTCATTTACTGCCATTCTGTTTTTTAAAGGATCAGATTGATTTTTTGGTTTTCCCATGAAAAGTTTTTCCCCAATTAATTTAGTCTCTCAGAAATCTCACACATGACTTACAATTTATGATCTTCACAGCTATTGTTCAAATTCAAGAAAATAAAAGCCCATCAAAATCCCCCAAAACTTTTTCAAGATATTCATTAGAAAAGAGATACTGGTATAAACAATGGGGTTTTTAGACACCTTCACCAAAACTCCCTTCTCATGCCCTCTCTTACTTCACTTTATCATCTGTCCTTGAACAACAATCTGAATTTCCAATACTAAGACCACATAAAAGCTTCCTGAAAGCTTCATGCTTTTCAAGCTTTCTTCACATCAGCTAAAAGAAGCAAAATGGGACATAAAATTCCTCACTCCCAGATGGGATTTAAAGCACTAGGCAAGTCTGTCTTTTAAATGATAAACTAAGCCACAGGCACTCCATGTTAAATACATGTTTTGCTCAGTAATGGTCTTAGTGAACATGTTGTCTGACAACAGCCCTTCCTGTTTTATCAAGAACACTGATATGTGGTCCTTCTACCTGAAGGATGGTTAGCAGGAATTTAGACAATACTACACTTGGCAGCTTGCCACAAAAATAGACATTCATTATGTCCACCTAGCAAAATAGGTTAATAGTCATGCAATCTAAATGCTCTCACCTATTTTAAGAAGGTCTTAATCTGAAACAATTCCATTTCACTAAATGGATCTTGTAAAATGGACATAGCCATGTTTCCTAAAAGTCCATTTAAATTTGGACAAGCAAGACAAATAAATGCAAGGCATTTCATAAAAGGTATTTTAATATTTTAAACTGAGTAACAGAGTTTACAGAGGCTACACCATGTCCTGTTATAGCCCCATGCTAAATACAACTAGTTACCTTTCAATTTATCAAGGCGAAGGGAAATGAACTGTAACCCCTCCTCAAGGTTTCTTCAAATTACAACTATTAGCTGAAAATCAGTTCCTATTATGGCATCTTTCATACATTAAAAATTACTTCTTTTAATTCACACTAATCTCTGATTTATGATATCAAAAAGTTTCAGATTTCCCACCCAGCTCTCCTGCACACCAAGTGACAACACTAGTACCTATGAGAATATAAATCAAAGGTTTAGATTTCAGAAACTATCCTAATGACTAAAAACCAAAGTTTCAATTGTGAACAGTAAAAAAAAAAATAAACAAATCCACTTGAAAACTCATAAAAATGCACTTAAAATGTCAATGTAAACTGAAAAAAATGAACTAGAGAAAATACAGAACTCACTACAAAAACCCCGAAGTGCAGAGCATGGACAGAGCTTTTTTCAGTCTTGCACAGCAAAACCACTATTAACTGAGTCCAGAATCATTAGATCTACAATGTAACTAAAACTTTTCAAAATAAACCCACCCTATTATAGAACAGATCAAAACTACACACATGTATGAAATGTATGCAAAAGGAAGGCTAGGGACAATGTAGGCCCTCTCTGGAAGGAAATGGGAGAACTGTCTACCCTGGATTTAGAAAAGGCTGAGGTTCTTAGTGACTTCCTTTCCTCAGTCTTCAACTCCAAGTGCTCTGACCAGACCAAGAAGGGCAAAGGTTTAGACTGGGAGGATGAAACCCCTAAACCCACTGTAGAAGAGGATCAGGTTCAAGACCATCTCAGGAATCTGAAAGTGCGTAAGTTCATGGGTCCTGATGAGATTCATCCTTGGTCCTGAGGGAACTAGCTGATGAAGTTGCTAAGCCACTATCTATCATTTTCCAGAAATCCTGGCAGTCAGGTGAAGTCCCCAACAACTGGAAAAAGGGAAGCATCACCCCCATTTTCAAAAAAGAGAAAGCA